CTCAACCACAGCCTGTAATATGGACCTCCCCTTCCGTTGGGCCCCTGGCGGCGTGATGACGTAATACGGCTCTGACCTTCCAGAACCACCTGCTGGAATTCAGGTGGGCAACAGATGATGCCAGCACTTACAGTAACAAACTCCCATATTTACAATTCTTCTGATTCGGAGTCAGGGGCACGGGTGGCCCTGTTGTCTTCTGCGCCCCAATTCGCTGTGCAGAGTTGCGTCCCTTGGGCTCGCCAGAAACCTGTGATTGTGGGTTTCGAATCCAGGTTCACCCCAATTGTTTGTAGATTTGTCAGCAATATACCCATGCTCGTGCGTTTCACCAAAGTGGTAAACGTCTGAGACCTGCATCACTTTGGGCTTTCCTCCCACATTAAGCTGACATGCCATAACTGGAATACTGTTAAAAGCGGCGTAAAACCCAACTCAATCACTCACTCTGATTCGGAGTCAACATAAAAATACAAATAAACCTACAGTAAATAATCTTAGTGCTAAGACCTAACGCTTATGTTTAACATTAATTTAAATAAGTTGTAGCGCCAAGATCCCTGATCCCTTAGTCTTCTGATACATATTTCAAATATCTTACACCAAAATGTTTTGCAGCCATAAAAAGTAATCATGTATGACAAAGATTCTTGATAAAATAGCTTTAATAACTTAAAAAGAATTAATTTGCAAACATATATCAAGACAAAAAGATACCTGATTGAAATGCATTTTGCAATATTCAGACACTCCAGAATTTCAAAGTGTCTATTTGGATAACCCATTTTCATAACCTTTTTGAACCCCCAATATGTTTTTGTAAAAAAAATGAGTCCAATATGCTTAAAGTGAACCAAATAACACGCACGCTTTACATTAGTTTGTAATAAAAGCCTAAAGAGAGAACATGTACATAGTATTTTGTGAAACCTTTACTTATTCACAAAACACTCCCCAGTCTAATATAAATGGCACTGAAGAATTAATAATTGAATTCTCTTCTTTTTTTATAAATATGCAAATAGCACAATGTGAGGTCTCATTCACAAACCACACCCGATCCATTACAAATGTTAACAAAGACTATCATTGAATTCTCTGTTTGCATGACCATCCACACACAGTCGGTGTAACAGCAAAGGCTGTATACCTTGTTGCAACAACACTTGTGACCAGCCGTAATCAATACTTGTATATTGAAAGATATCCTACACACTAATATTTTCCTTTGATACGCCTTGTGCGGTAAAATATTTGAAGCATAGCTGTGAAGTATTCTACATTGCACATAGCCATTAACTACATTCCTAAGCCAACACAGGAAAACGGGATATTCATAATTCAATATATTTTTTTCTTTGTATATAAACGTTGCACAGTATTTACTATTGGATGGACCCATTATTTATTGTACATATAACTTTCAATAAACATATTGTATGCATAGAAAGACCTTGTAATACCTCGGATGTTATTGCTAGTTGTTGCTGGGACACAATAAACATCTCGGAATCATATTCATATTCTACAAAAACCAATATTTAACTGGGAAATTAAAGTTTATCAAACATGTAACAGATGTGGAAGGTTTAGAAGTTCCATCATTGAGACTGGTAATGACGAATGTTGCACTTTAGTTGTCCATGAACACAGAAACAAGCCATACTTATTACTTAAACATATCTCAGGAGGTTTCAAGACTTACTATTGCTATTCATGTCACATGATCAGTTTCAGCAAGCAATATTTAAATACCTAATTTTGTCTAATCAGTGTAACAGCAGTCAATTATTGACAGATACAGAGATTGCGCCAATTACAATATCTGGACCTGCACTGCACACTGGCATCTGACTGTGGACTATAATCCTTCTTTATCAGACCTGTGAAGATCTGGGTTAGAATAGGTCTACTGCAACCCATGCTTGCCATAAAAGGCAACTATGATTGTCGTAAGACACGACTAATTGGATCGGGTGGTCAGGCTCACTGACTTCCTTGATGCATGTCATCATATCCCCATTGATGGATTGATGCTCATGATGTCAATTACTGGATTGTCTGGTCAAGACTCAATTATTTTTCAAACCGCCATCATATAGCTTGGATATTGCTGAGTGCAGCGTTAAACAACAAATAAACAAACAAACTTCAGCTATCACCATTGAATGATCAGAAGTGAAGTTTCTGCCATGCTCCAACACTGCCTAATTCATTATTTTGGTCATAAGAGGTGAAGTGAAGTGAGGTGAAATTGAGTTTACGTCCAAGATTTTGCACTTATATCATGTATATAGCAACGTGCATGTACATGTGTGTGTGGCTGCTTGTATAAGTCCGGATTAATGTCAATTGTATAGTGCTAGCCCACTGAGATCCCATGCAGCAGCTTAACATGAATAACCCATTTAGACACAGTATACTGACTCCCAGCCAACCAGTTCTTGTTTTAATCCCATAATGCCGAGCGCCAGGCAGGATACCAACAAGTACATATGACACAGCCGGGGATAGACCTTCCACTCTCCAGGCGGACGCTCTACCACCAGATTGATTGAGTAAGGTTTTACGCCGCTTTTAGCAATATTCAAGCAATATCATGGCGGGGGACACCAGAAATGGGCTTCATGAATTGTACCCACATGGGGAATGGAACCCGTGGCTTCGGCGTGATGAGCAAACACTTTAACCACTAGGCTACCTCAATGCCCTTCTACCACTAGACCACTGAGGGGGCCACTAAGAGGGCTCTGTTATAAGACACATTACGTTCATGGCCATATGGTCCTGGAAAGACCAAAGTGAGGGAAGTCGCAGACGTAGATCACCGAGAAGCACACAAGAACATTGGCTCACTGAGGATCACAATCAGGGAAAATCTGGGATTCAAATGGACAAACAACAGATCCCAACACCTAAGGGACAAAACTCTGTATTACAAGCTGCTGTACCTCAGAAACTTAGAAAATACGGACAAATCCATTTCTTTTCCATTTCCATCAAATTGTTGTGTACTTGTCCCAGTGAATATGGTGGGTGGGGTGCTTTATTGGTTAAATATGGTATCTACCAAATAGCATCCTGTTCCTGGTCTAACCTTGTGTCATGCCTACTGGAGTACCCAATGGCTACCATTGAGAAATTTATTTTTTTTACGTATCCATACAACCTTCTCTTTGTTTACGTATGTTTGACATGTGTTTTCTCGCCGACCCAGACTCAACACATCTGGTTGCTAATGTTCTCCATTTCCCACAATGCACCTGTGACATTTATGTCTGCCATCTTTCAATGTATGTAGACATCTTATCAATACGATCATTATAAGTTATGCATGACAGCCAAAATAAATATTTGACATCTTTGCAACCTATGTTATGATTGTACTACAGGTTAATATTTATTTCTTCAAATTTTTATCAATGGAGGCTATTGTTCAATGAAAGACAACTTAAGTATAGTCCAGACACTACATTTATAAGACTGTCAAGGACTGTTCAGCATTTTCAAAAGGGAGGGGTCCAAAACATTAAAATCCTCTCTCAGTCAATTTTACTGCCTACAACATACAACATTTGGCGAAGATCCGGGTTAAAATAGGTCTTCAGCAACCCATGCTTGCTATAAAAAGGCAACTGTGTTTGTCGTAAAAGGAGACTAACGGGATTGGGTTGTCAGGCTCACTGACTTGGTTGATGTATGTCATCGTATCCCAATTTCGTGGATTGATGCTCATGATGTCAATCACTGGATTGTCTGGTCCAGACTCGATAATTTACAGACCACCCTTATAGCTGGAATGTTGCTGAGTGTGGCGTTAAACAAACAAACAAACAAACAAACAAACAATCAAAAGGATGGGGGGTCCAGACCCCTTGGACCCCCTATGACTGTGCTGCACATGTGTTACATGCAAAACTTCATTTACAGCTGTACTTCAAGAAACAGAGAACCCTTGACAGTGCATGTTCTGATTCATCTTGTAGTGTGTAGGAGCTAATATGTATATATTATTAACCAATAACCATAGGGTTAGCATTAACCAAGTTAGCAATAAAATCGTATGTGCACAAGTGCAGACTCACTTCTCATGCACCAATGTATTGTTGATGTCATTTGAATCTTATTGTGATGTAAGGTCAGAATGACGTCACACTAGAAATGACATCATGGATGAAGATTGTTGAAGTCATTCGACAAATTGTGGTTTTCTAGGACAGAGGTGGTGATCTGTGCATTTTTCTAAAGGGGAGCTCAAAAGGATTAAGAAATATAGGGTAATAAAGAAATTATTACACTCACATGTGTAATACTGATTTTATTTAACTCGTGTAAGAATTTATGTATTACACTCGCTCTCGCTTGGAAAACAAGAATTCTCACTTGTTTTGTAAAATCAGTGTGACACACATGCTCGTATAATAATCTCTATTTATGATAATGTATCAGGAATTATCACAGTCTGTACATAACCCAAATGATCAACTCACAGTTCATCGTGAAGGATAATGTAGGATACCATATTCTACATAATAAGCGCCCAAGGCGCTCTCAAAATTAGCGATAGGGGGCTCTTATCAGAATATTATTTTGGTGAAAAAAGAGAGTTGAAAAATCATTAATTTCGTGGTTTATGCTGACAGCCTGAAATGTTTATATACGACAGATATATTTTTCCAGAATTTAATTGCACATAATTAAGGGTGCATATAACACATGAACGAGTGCGTATTAAACACGAATGTCTTGTGTACATTGATCAATCGGAAGGGGTGCTAATTGGGATTGTTCACTTGCCAGCAAATATCACCGTGGGCGATTAATAGAGCAGGGCGCTTGTTACGTTGAATACGATAAGTGTCCATTATGGCCAACTTGAAATGTCAAGTTGCAAAAAACAATCAAAATGATCAGACATGTCAAAATGCATGACAATTAGATGTATTTTTCTTACACATATCGTACCTTGACCGATCAGTTGAAACAACAAAACAACTTACCTTTGAAGAGTGGACATATTCTCCAGATGGCCACCGGGCTGAGGCTGGAGAACTGACCATACGTGACCTCCATGAAGAACAGAGGGATGCCGCACAGCACCAGGAAGATGATGTACGGGATGAAGAAGGCTCCTGGAACGAATCAGAGGTAAGTTACTGTGGAAGATGTAGAGATGTCTACAAGCCTACATCAGCGTAGCTGCCACGATTTATTGGGATTCCAACCTAATTGTCTTTGCTGGCTATTGTATAACAAACTGTTATCAGCACTACAGCAATCAAATCCAACTAACTCATGTTCTAAATGTGGGGAGGTTACTCCTGGTCAGCACTGTACATAGTCCTGGTAAAACCCTTCGTACTCAAAACTCACCCACATGGTGAAGCTATATCTTTTTATTACCTACGAGAACAAACATATCGGGGTTTTTAAACATCATATGTGCCCAAGGGTCATACCACGTAACGACACAACAGTGTATTTTTTCCATCATCTGGACGGCATTGTTGATGTCATTCGAGTCTTATTGTGAGGTGAGGTCGGAATGACGTCACACTAGAAACGAAATCATGGCTGAAGATTGTTGACGTCATTCGACAAAATTGTGGTTCCTCCGCTGTTACGACTTGCTGTTCTTAGAGGTAACCACTAAAATTTGTCTCTGTATGTAGACATCTTCTTCGGTAATAAATAGAACATGATATTCGTGTTCATGTCATACTATGTTTACGACACTCTTGCTAAATGCCGGTATTTAGACTCTCGTATCATAAACATAGTATGACATGAATACGAATATAATATCCTCTATATAATCTCTGAAGTAATCAAATCCTACTTATTCAAGCTTTACATAAAATGGGTTTTCCTTAATTACAACTGAAGCAATTAAATCCTACTACAAACTGTAGAAATCTAACCCCTATCCCCAACTCTACTACATATGGCGGAGGCATTCTTGATCAGCATTAATTACAAAGATATTTGGGCACACTCCAAAACTGGTTTATCCAACCCTCACCTCAGAAAAGATCGATTTATATAAGGACATCAGGCCAACTTATGTAGGTACCTTTTCAAAACGAATTTTTCATATTTTTTCAACATCATCTTTCAATGCTTTGTCTTCAACAAATTTTGTTCAATAGTGATTCACAGCCACACAGACCCTGATTGCATTCATCACTGTCCGGAATATTGATTCCACCGTCCCTGGGCGCTGTAACTCCATCTTCCAATAATGTGTGTATACTAGTCTGTCTCAATGTCCCTAAGCCATATATTTTCCATTCCGGCCTGCCCTAAATGTAATGCTAAGTAATGTAATGAAGCAAGTCTAGATTTTCCACATGTTCAGGTCAATATCACTGACGTACATCGCCTAAGTCTCAGCATAAATTAAATAGTGTTTCTATTTTCATAATTCGTTTTGTTACTTACACACAAAATTCTATTTCCAATATGTTTATTGTTAGAGTAATTCCAAGAATGTCAGCAGTAATTTGGTGTTCATCAATCATTACTTGACAACGCTGGCCACGTTTTTGCACAGCCTTTGCTTTCAAAATAAGTTTCCACAATTAGTAGAGAAAACAATATGGAACATCTGGCACTTCACGAAATATCAGCCATCAGGGAGTGAAACATATTGACAATTTGTGAAACCTCATATTGTACCCATAACAATAAAAATACAATATCCTGCACATTGGTCCAGCACACTCCATGATAGTGACAGAGACTTAAAAAATGGGCTTCACACATTGCACCTATGTGGGGAATCAAACCCAGGCCATGTTGTGACAAGCAAATACTTTAACCACTAGGCTACCATACAACCCCTAATCCATGATAAACAGAATTAAGGACCTTATGATATCCACTTGAAACTTATTTTATTATGTTTTGGAAAGTCAGCTATCTGATCAGTAAGCAGGGATTTAAGTCTTCATATACCAACAACAGTTGATAAAGTATCTGGCTGGAGAGCGGAAGGTCAGTGACAGCACTTATTAGAACATTGTACAGTTACACTTATTGTAGAATTCATTGCAGAATGGTAAACAAATTTGTTATTTTCCTAAGATGATTTATCATACTAATTTACTAAATATGGTATTTCTCATGTTGGGTAGTCAAGTGTTTACCTTAAGTGTTTGCTCATAAGCCCAAACCAGGGCCCACTTGCACAAAGCGATCTTAGTGCTAAGATGATCTTAACTCCCATACTTTAACATAGGCTTACAATGGTCTTAGCGCTAAGATCGTTTTGTGCAAGTGGGCCCAGGTTTGATTTCTCACATGGATAGTGCGAGGTTTATATCAAGTGCAGGGATATTTTTGATCTGTTGCTAAATGTACCGCCCCACCCCTCTGGATTTGCCAGTGTTAATATAAACAAAAGTGTTTTTAATGGTGAAGCACTTATGAACATGGACAGGTAAGAATCAGAAACAAACCATTTTTTACCACCTGTTTCCAGTTCCCCTATCTCGTGAGAGTATATCACCTGGCAGTGGAGCATGTTAATGCCACATGGTCCAAGATAAAAGGTATTATGAAAACAAATCTAAACTGTATATATTTCATCAGCATCATGACCGTCAAAAATACTTGAAAGTTTTATGGTAAGTTTTTTTTTCAGAGACCTACAAACAAAATTCAGGGTGACATGTTTCATTCGTTTAAATGTCAATTTTGGCCAACATTTAAGCTTCAGGTAATAGCTTTCATCTTGACTTAAGAAACCAATTGTTTTTCACAAACATTTATAAAACACCCCCAAAAAACCATCAAAATATTATTTTCAAACTCTATGCTGGCATCAATGTACACTTGAATCATTATTATGATAATTTAATTCCTCTTACTGAAGGCATATCTTACATTGAAGCAGTCATCTTGGTTGTACAATAAGACTTTCCCAAGGCCACTGATGAAACTTACTTCTTAAAAAAACCCTTCAAAACACAGAAATAGGCTATGATGCAACAAGACAAAGAAATGCTTTGTGTGAAAAGAGATTGATGGTAGCATGTCACATATTCCTTACACTAGACTTGCACAAGTCTCTAAGGATATTATTATCAGTTTAAATCATAGTTCCTAGGTTATATCAATAATAAGAACAAGTTGTCCCTATAAAAGACTGACATCCTGTACTGTCCTGTATATCTTGACTTGCCTATTATAACGGTAAAATAACTTTCTGTCCATGTACTTATAATTCAGTGCAGCCTTGGAGGAAGGCTATCTTGACACATGCTACCCGGTATGTGGAACCTGTAATTGCTTATCCAGAGGGGAAAGAATACAGCCACAATCAGTAGTGCATGTACAAATGGAGATACAAATGTTTGGGTTAAATATAATTTGCCTTGTGGTTGAAAGAATGAAGTCAGAGAATGGTTAACCTATAAATTTCATATCTTATAAATTGTAAATATTAGCTGTATATTTAAATTGTTTAACCTTTAGAGCAGATAAAAACTCATGGTTCATATAACAACCCTTAGCCAGCCACGTGACTTTGCTCGAAATGTGCCTCTGTTCACCAATCAGTTTGTGGGTACCCGGTAGGATGAGATGGTAATGTGGCTGTTAACCTCCTAGCGCCTCACAGGCAGCTTGGATTGTATACTCCCCAGGGAGCTGAGAATGAAAATCGAGTGCTCACTGATCCATTGACCGGGGCAATAATAGTGTAGCGCTATGAGCATCCACTTGGTGAATGGAATCTGGCGCATTATAGATGCACTAATTATTATTATTTTAACAGAGTCTCTACTATAAGTTTTGAAAAAGTAAACCAGGCCTCGATTTAAGGAAGTTGATCGAACTTGCACCAAGTGCATTTTGACATGAAAACCAAGTTGCACCAGAAAAAAAAAAGGTTGCACCCTGGTCCCCTCAAAGTTGAATATAGATGCATAAATTAGTCTGAATAAATAAAATCTCAAATCTCTGACGACTGGTCATGATTTTACATAAATTTATGACCTATTGGTTGTAAAACTTGAGAGGACGTATGTACATAATCTTGAAGTACCCACTTTGATGACTTGAGATAACATGACAAATTACACATAACACAGAGGTTAGTGGTGCAGTATGGTACATGAAGTTTCGAGGTATTGAGTGTGTTCAAAGATCGATGTTGTGTGGAAATGTATGGTTAGAAACACAAATTAATGTTTTTACATTCACTTCGTGCATATTGACATAAATATTAGATTGAACTTTTCACTGATAGGTTGCACTGATGCATGTTTTATATAGTTAAATTGAGCCCTCTATATAAGTACTTAATCATATTTTAACAAGTGTTTGCCACTAACGTGGCTATATCCCCCACCCCTGTTGCAGAATTTATGACATAATTAAATCTAAACAAACCCTAACCTTTTTTAACCGAGGTGGAACATGTCATGGAAATTTTTACAAAAAGATGAGTTTGGAACCTAAGTCCATCTTGTTGCCATGGAAACGTAAAAAATAAATATTTCTAAAATTTCTAAATAGCAAAAGGCAACAGTTCAGCATGTACCTGACAGACCTGCAAAGTTTGATGAAAAAATATTGAATGGTTTATGAGTTATGCTCCGGAAACGAACCCTACCCTCACAGAACCTAAGTCCATCTTGTTGCCATGGAAACGTAAAAAATAAAAATTTCTAAAATTTCTCAATGGCAAAAGGCACCAGTTCAGCATGTACCTGACAGACCTGCAAAGTTTGACGAAAAGATATTGAACGGTTTATGAGTTATGCTCTGGAAACGAAACGTGACGGATGGACGGATGGAGCCCGTTTCTATATCCCCCGCCAACTTCGTTGGGCGGGGGATAATAAAAAGTCAGTGTTAAAAGTTTGAGGGGAAAAGCAACTAAACTGTCATTAAATCTCATTTCGAAAAACAATTCCTACATGTCATGATGATCAAGAAAGAATTTTGGAAGGTCAACAAATGCATGTATACGTCTGGGGTCACCTTGACACCAGTGGAAAATCTCCAGACGGAAACCTAATCATAATTGACCAGTTGCTAGGCTTCAAGCTGTTGCTGATCTTAGGAATAAAAGTAATCCATATTATTTTTGTAGCAAACTTCTCTGTAAATGCCCATTCTCTCTCACTGCCATCTTTGTATTTGGTTAGCTCTAGTGTTTAATCAATGCCAGCATCCATCGTCGTCATCCACAGTACTGACAGCACGGCTGTACAGTAGTGTGTGGGTGTGGACGTGGGTGTGGGTCAGAAAAACTCCAGCAATATGACGCTGGCCAGACAATCTATAATCAATATTGTGCATAAACAATCCACGCCATTAGGATACAATCAACTAAGTCTGCAACGTTCCTGTTTACCGGTATTTAACAGATTTTACAGGTAAAATTATGCTTGGACCGGTAATTCATGTAATTGCCTGTCCCTGTGGACTGGCAAACACCTTGTAAATCTCTTTCGTTGAACAAAACATTGGCGATATTCAAATAAGTATATTTTCAAAACGAAGTCAGCTTGTCTGTTACCATCAGGGTTTCCCCTTGTCTAGTTTAAGCAGGGAAATATCATTTCACTTTGCTGCTATGTTAAATATATATTTGTAGCGACTTAGTCTCGAAATATTCAACAACAAAAAGGTAGGAATTGTGACTTTTTGTGAATGGGGTGTAGATCTAATTAAGTTACTTCAGAGATGATGTCATTGCATTGAACACGATGTTGAAAGAATTAAAACCTGCTAATTTTCATATGTCTTTTTTATTTGTTAAAAGTTGGGACTGACAAACGGGACTGGCATTTTCAAAACCCGGCAGGGAGACTGGTCTGACTACCCGATCCCGTTAGTTGCCTCTAACAGGCTCACACAAACACAAATATGTCCCTGTTCTCAATGAAAAACACATTAAGGCTGACATTGTTAACATGAGCTGAAAACACTACATCCTGGAATCATGTGACGGAAGTATTTTTTATTTCACAACGACTTGCTTTCAAACCCTTGTGAATATTTTTAAGTGATTGTGAGTTGTACGATGTTAAATTGAATCACAGGATATTCTAAAACACTGAGTAAAGTATTTCAGGTTTCAAACACTTTTCTCACAATGCATCTGAAAATGTGTCATTGTCTAGCTTCATCCACAGGGTGACGGTTGGGTAGCCTAGTGGTTTAAGCGTTTGCTCGTCACGCCGAAGGCCCGATTCCCAACATGGGTACAATGTGTGAAGCCCATTTCTGGTGTCCCCCGCTGTGACGTAATACCTCACTCACTCATCCACAGGACCAAGTAACTGATATTCTGAGAGTTTGTTGGAAAAAACGATTAGTTGCTTGGTCCTCTCACTTCATCATAACTAATATACATTGTTTATCCAGACTAATAAACATCCTGTTTTAAAAATAATGAAATGCACAAACTCAAAAGAACCCCTTTTCCTCATAATTTAAACACCTTATGGTTATAAATTCAAATATGAAAGCACATAAATAGAACTTCCACTGTGCATCTGCTAAACTGATCCTTTCCTCGTTTTTATCACATTCTGTAATACTTCCTCCACGTACATTACCATATAACAATCAGGCTATGTCAATACAATCATGACAGGCAGTTTCGAAATCTTTTGTTAGAAGTAAACCACTCTCAGAACCATCTTTGATCTTCAAATCTATACGTGATATTATGTGTATCAATGTACAATCAACCCTTGATCGGACCCACACCCACATTCCTTACACCCACTGGCCTTAGTCAACAAAGCCCGAGTTTCTGAAATCCGTTGACCCTCGATACCTCTTCAGACCTCTTCCGGCTTAAACTATCATCTCTCAGCTTACATATTGAGATAAGCCTGTCCCTACCATGTGCTCCACAAGGGGCAGCAGGATAGCCTATCTGAATCATCTCATGGCTACTCAATGGGTGAAGTTCATGTCTCCAGTTTCAACATAACAGGATGATCGCCACTCGACTGAATGTTTCAATGAAAATCTTATCTCAGGACTTGACCTTGTTAAATCCAAAACAAACAAACAACATGTCCAACCTGCCTATTTATGGACTGATAGAGTACATGGTTCATGTCGTCCAAGGTCAATCTGTATAAGGAGGCCTGCACACTGGGAAAGTTTGGGCAGATATAAGGATGGACTGACCCAAAATACACAACAGTGCAAAGATTGGGCAGATATAAGAATGGACTGACCCAAAATACACAACAGTGCAAAGATTGGGCGGATATAAGAATGGACTGACCCAAAATACACAACAGTGCAAAGATTGGGCGGATATAAGAATGGACTGACCCAAAATACACAACAGTGCAAAGTTTGGGTGCATATAAGAATGGACTGACCCAAAATACACAACAGTGCAAAGTTTGGGCGGATATAAGAATGGACTGTCCCATGATGTATAAAAGTGCAAAGATTGGGAGGATATAAGAATGGACTGTCCCATGATGTATAACAGTGCAAAGTTTGGGAAGAAATCTTTTCAAAACCTTTTAAATCAGTTCTTGTCTTATTGAAGAAAGCACCCATTTCTCTAGTGTTATAAGAACACAAGTATGAGAAAAGAAGTATGAGAAAAGAAGTATGTGGGAGTGCTTGCCTAAACATACTGTAACAAGATCAGTGTTATGAGGCCTATGCAAGTTAGAGCTTGCGCACAGTTGAAGGTGAATGTGGAGAGGCTCTTGTCTCCAATAAATAGATTTAGGGATCCTTAGAATCCTTAGACAAATTCCTCATAAGGTCACCAGGACTGTATGTTTTATTATCTGGGTGGGGGGTGGGAAGGAATAATTAAACCTTGCTCTAATTTTGTCAGATTTCACGTGTACGAGTACAGAAACATTTTAGTTTACTTCTGTTTTTTCATATGGCATAATTCATTTATTTTATTCTCAATAAAGCAACCGCCTCCTTGGTCTAGTGAATAAAGCGTTTGCCTGGAGAGAGGAAGGTCGGTGGTTCAATCTCCCAGAGCTACAGATAAGCTGTTTATTTGCGTAAAATACCCCCCCCCCCCCAATTATTCAAAACCCAATTACTTTCAATTAACTTGCGTAAAGAAACGAATGCATTAAATGAAAAACTCAATTGTTTGAAAACAGCACGCGTAAATACCCAATGAAGCTTTTTCAGCATGCGCACATGCGTACAAAGGAGCTAATTTTCAAAACACAATTACGAGCTAATTTACTGTCCAAGTCAAGCCTGTATTTAGAACCGTTATATTTAGAACATCTAAAACATTATTTCATTTTTTTTTTGAAATGTCAAAATGAGTGCTGAATAGATGAGTGAAAAAATATTGGTTACCCAATGAAAAATGTAATAACTCAATAAAAATAGAAACCTTCAAGTAAAAACTCAATTGCTCAAAAAGTTACCGGGAGCTCTGATCTCCTGGCTGTGTCATACCACAAAATGTTCAAAGATGGTACTTGTTTGTTTATTTATATGTGGTTTAACGCTGCACTCAGCAATGATCCAGCTATATGACGGCGGTGGTACATGTTTGTTTGTTTGTTGTTTAACGCCACACTCAGCAACATTCCAGCTATATAACGGCGGTCTGTAAATAATCGAGTCTGTACCAGACAATCCAGTGATTGACATCATGAGCATTGATCCACGAAATTGGGATACGATGACATGCATCTACCAAGTCAGCGAGCCTGACCACCCGATCCCGTTAGTCGCCTCTTACGACAAGCATAGTCGCCATTTATGGCAAGCATGGGTTGCTGAAGGTGGCAAGACAAGGACTGGTCTGTTTTGAGTCAGTATAGTGTGTCTGAGTGGGTCCCCCTGTTAACTGCAGCATGGTATCTAAGTGGGTGGGCTCTATAGACTGCATAAATCTGCCTGCACTTTACACCCGGTATGGGAAATAATCTTGCACATGACATCAAAACCTCTTTTACCTCACCTTTCAATTGAGCCATGGGGAACAAATAAAATATAAAAGTGAAACCGGAGTTGTGTTTACCAACTCACGCAAATCTTTAAGTGTCTACATTGTCACACATCCACCACAAAATTAAGTTTAAAGCTTTAAGAAAAAAAATAAAATAATGTGCAAAGCTCTTTCAATGTCATTTGGGACTGAAACGGCTTTACTTTTATGTGTGAGTCACATTTAAAACACCTTTGTGCATACACCCTACTTTCACTCCACCACCCCTACTTTCGTTGAAGCACACCTAACATACTAAATATGTATACATTTGAAGTTATCTAGGCAATCAGGCAAATTAAGTGTAAACATATTACACCACTGCAGCTCATTGTTGATAGATTTTAAAATAACACATCCCAAAATAAATTGCTTTGCTGATAACTCAATTTATCTTCATTGACGATAGATTTTTCCAAAAATAACACAACCCAACATAAATTGCTTTGCAGATTATTCACATTATCTAGTCAAGTATGTTAAACAGAAATAATGCACACTGTATCCAAATATCATAATCCTGTGAAACTAATATATTAAATTAAATAATCCTTGTAAATTATTAATTACATAGCCATTTTTGCAGAAAAGACAAAGAAATCTCCAGATAGTGCAAAGGCCAACATGGAAGTAATACACAAGCTGCCCCTAAATCATGACTTTCCGTAAAATGAGCATTTACAAACACTTCAACCATTAAATTCAACTTACCTCCACCACTCTTGTAGCACAGATAGGGAAATCTCCAGATGTTGCCGAGGCCGACTGCATACCCGATGCAGGTGAGGATGAAGTCCATCTTGCCACCCCATCCTTCACGCCCTTGGGTGTCCAGATTGCGCTTCATCTTTTCCACGCTATTTGTACTACCAGTGGAACTGGAACTGTCGATGGCATCAAAATCGCCCTGGAAAATAGATCATAAACTATCTGGGTTTGGAAAATTACTGGAATATTATAGCCCATGATATGAAGGCCATCTACACCTGTTGGCAAGCTGCTGCAACTTATGCAAATTACATACCGGTAATATTATTCATTTATAGCCCTGTGGAAATGAAGAGAGACGGGTTTTGAAAAAGTCACCAAACTGATTACTATGATAGTATTTTTGAAATAACAGTTAGACTCACAGGTATGGGTGGTATGGGTGTATCCCATGCTAAAATATTCTGCTAAAAATGTGATAGGGCCTTGGGGTTGAACTTTTTTTTATCCTGTTACAAAACTAATGGACAAAATATTATTGAATCTCTGGTGGCGCTACAAGCGAGCCTGGAAATTCCAGCCTAGTTCGGCAAGGATGGAAACTGGACTTTTATAGTCAGTTAACACCCTTGCCTCAGGAAGATGAGCACTTCCAAACAATCAGTCTCATGCAGACCCAAGCCGGACACTCGGAATATCTTTAATAACAGTGTGAACATTCTTCCAAATATTAACCAAATTGTTTCAATATGGACTTTTGATGGGGATCATATGTCAAAACAATTAATAATCAACAGCTTGATGACAGCTGATACAACAGCTGTTTCATAAATGTCAACAGAAAAATTAATATATTATTGATTATTTCCAAAATGGGATATTTCAAGATCCCTTTATCCTCACTACACAATTAAACAAGATACTCCAGCAAACTAAAGCAGTTAACGCCCAGCACATTCATCTAGGTCATCTCCGAGCCGATCTAAGAAAATGATTATTCATAATTCTGGATATCATAATATCTAATGCTTTAGCTTCGCAAAGGTAACTTTTTTTGAACTTTTATCCAAAAGTATTTGATATGTATCAAAAGATTCTATTTATCATCCAAAATATTTCTTTTAACATTTTCAGTTTGTAAACAGTAACAACCAATGCCTTGAGTGTAACATGCAGAGCTAACTAGCTTCAGCAGCAGAGAGATAAGTGATGTCATTTGATTGTGATGGCATGATAACTGATGACATCACAATGTTCTGCAAAGCATTGTGACGCAATTCATTGTAACAATATCTACTAGGAGATAATTATGTCTCGATCTCACCCAAGGATATATGTGGAGGTCAGTTTTGGATAATACATAGAGAATCTCACCTGAGTGCCTTTGATATCAAATATACAACACGAGTTGATAAAAGTGGAAAAAGTCTGAGGCTTGCCGAGGAGATTTTCCACTTTTATCAACAAGTGTTGAGATATTTGATATCAAAAGACACAAGTGTGAGATTTTATTCATCATCCAATATCCTTCTTCCAACTTTTTCAGTTAGTAGAAAGTAATAAGCAGTGTCTTAAGTGTAAAAAGTACTGCTAACAGCTTCAGTAGCTGAGCCATTAGTGATGTCATTTGATTGTGACGTCATTGCTTACCATGATGTCACACTGGTCAGCAAAGCGTTGTGATGCAATTTCATTGCAGCGATATCTACAATGTAGATATTGCTTGATCTCACCCAAGCATATCTCCTGTGGGAGACAGTTTTGGATGACAAATTGTGCCATCATACAAGGCTAAATATAGGTACATGTACAAATACACCAATATGCCATATGGCACAACAATAACTTGTGAAATACAATTAGCTGACAGTATTCATGTTTTCAGGCAATTGTTTAATCAACACATTTATTAAATTCTTTACATAGCGGAACAAGTGTTGAGTGTTGAATCACCATTAACCAGAGATCACGATATATGGTTCTCACTTCAATTAAGTGTTCTGTTACAACAGGATAGATATTCCTTGTACTAGACGTCAAGCGCCAATGGCAGGTTTAAGATCACAGTGTTACAGTTAAAATAGGGAGCACCAGGGGTCCAGAAAATTTAAAACCCCAATGGGACATTTGCATTTAGGCCACGCCCCCTAGCGTAGTGTAGCATATTTTAGCAAGACCTTTCAAAAGTTACACGTATTCATAATATATATACAATAAAAGCACAATAATATACACTGATATATCCTGGAGCACATTTAGAAATAACATTTTAAGTTAAGTTTCTTCTGGCGTTATTATGTGAAACTGACGAGAAGTGTACTTAGCATGAGTGAAATGGATAAACATGGAAAATGGTAAATATATGAACAAGAACTGGTCTTCTCTTGTTTTAGTTATTCTTTGAACCATTTTTTTCAGCTTGGAACACTCGGAAAAATAAACACGAGAGACTCTAAGTCTCACTTAATTTAATATAATCATGATAATAGCCAAAATCATATAAAAACATCACATAACACTAACCGCAAAAAGCCCATCACATTTGTGTCTAAATAGACATGCCAGTTTTTCGCTACTTATTTTCAGTCACACAATCAGGTAATTTAAAAAAAAAGACTCACTTAATTTCATATAATAGCCAAAATCATATAAAAAAATTATATAACAGCAAAAAGCCCATCATGTACACATGTGTCTAAACAGACATGACAGTTTTTCGATACTTATTTTTCAATCAAACATTCAGGTAATTCTCAAAAAATATTTTCCCATCAGAGAGATTACTTACATCCACCTACCTTTGTAAATAGTGGACCTGATATAATACTCATGCAACATGGCGCCTCGATACCACCATCAGAAATAAATATTCATGAGACAACTTTCCATTGCTACATTTCCATTGACCCTGAATTGTTGGCGAAATATTCCAAAACTACAAAACCATGAAACCTAACTGGTCACAACCAGTTCCCAAAAGCTCCACCTGTCATTAAATTCATATTAACTGCCTCATTACTGTATCTATGCAAATCAGATACCAGACAAAATCATGTGCTTGATGAATACAAAAATATTCTTTTGAGTTATTTATATGCAGGGACATGGCTTGCTTACGGAGTAGTTACCAGGCAACTAGTGACCAGAATATGTGCAGGAGCATCGGCACTATTTTCACAATTCACTTCACAACCGACCCGTGAAGATCCGGGGTAGAATAGGTCTTTACCAATCCAAGCTTCCCGTAAGAGGCGACTATGCTTGTCGTAAGAGTCACTAATAGAATCGGGTGGTCAGGCTCGCTGACTTGGTTGATGCATGTCATCGTATCCCCATTGCGTGGATTGCTCATGATGTCAATCACTGGATTGTCTGTTCCAGACTCAATTATTTACAGACCGCCATCATATAGCTGGAATATTGCTGAGTGCGGTGTTAAACAACAAAAAACAAACCTCAAAAACCTGACATGAGAATTCTATACTCAACAACAAAAGTTTCAGATGATGAATAGTTAGATAGGGAGATATTTTTATGAAATTGTGTGCTCTGTCTACACTAAAAAAATATCCCAAAAATATCCATGATCCCTAACATATTTTGTTCAGTATATGATGAAATATGCCTATTCTGCCAAATTTTAGTCGTTTGTCTCTGCCTTGTATTACAGATTTCTGTAGACACAAGAATTTAGAGCCATTCTATTTTATTTTGTTGGATATGTTTCTGTTAATAATTGTTTTGTAAAAAGGCATTTAGTTGGGTTTAATGCTATTTTGAATTGTTTCAAAATTTTATCAACTCTTTTTGATAGCCACAACAGTTAGTTGCTGTGAAGATTTGACACGTTTATCAAAGAACTTATTTTTAACTGACTATTCTAGCCAACAAGAATATAGTTTTATAAGTGAACAAAAAATATCCGCCACATTAACTGTATTATTCAGAGTCCATTGTAGATCATGGTAGATTGTGCCTTTCGCAACATTAATTTTCCAATGGCATACATGAATATTCATGAGCCATGATGGTGCATAAATTAACTCTTAAATAAACAGTTATTCACTATGACAAAAGAGGACAACAGAGAACATCAAGGATCACACTTGGATCCCTCACTAAAACGACAATGTTCACTCTGTATACCAGAGCATTTCTACTCCATGGATACTCCCCATACTGTCAGTCAAGCGAACCATGAACCTACCTATTGTCATGAATAGAATACTGTATTTCCTCAATTAAAAGAACCCAGAATTTATTTATTTCAGACAATCTTTACCCCCAGCATTTAATCCTAATGATAATACTTTGGAGAATTCTTTGCATAAAAAATACCCCAGCATTTATTCAAGCCCTGTGTTTATTCAAGGAAATACGGTAGATATTCACAATGTTGCCTATATTCAGGCAATGAGCAATATCACACACTGTATCTACTCTTACATCCATTCAATATGAATACTATTCGTTTCATTGTCTACAGTTTTTGCATGGAAAGTAACAGGTGCTACTTCTGACTAACACCCGACCACACCCCTGCATACAAGTGAACTCACCCAAACAGATGGCCTGTACAAGAAATATTACCAGGAGCAAGGAACTGATAACTTCTGATGGTGGGAGTGAAAAGGGGGAGTGGCAACTAGGAATGTGGTGGCCCCCACAAAACCAATTGTATTTTTGTCTACCTCTCCCTGCCCACCCTACACCTACTCCCTCTCATAGAAATGACTGGCATTTGTTTTATAAATAAATATATTTAATCATGGCCACAAGATTCTTGAACATTTAACAGACTCTAGCAGTTGTAACACGTTCAAAAACATGTTTTGATGAGTTCTCACAAAATTTTCTAAAATGTGACTTTTAGATGAAGATCCAAATTAAACGAACAATTTTCAAACCATAAAATAACTCTTAATAATAAAGGAGTGAATTTTACCACGTGCGCTATTATCCAGAGTTAGTAGAGCGAGACAAACCCTACCCCAAAACTACCTAATAGGATGAAAGCAAAGGCGAGACCCTAACCCAAGGCTAGTCAACAGGGTCCTTATCTGAAGAAGCTCGCAAAGAGGTGAAAACTGCAATGAATTCCTTTGGTAAAAGAGGTTAGCGTAAGACAGCGGTTAAGCTATACTGAACAGCGTTTGGGGAGCTTTATCGTGCGGCCACTGGAAATAATTCACTATCATTCAGGCACAGGATCATATAACTAATAATTATAATAAACAAATTCGCAAAAATCTCGTTGGCTTCGGCCACGTCTGCCGCTTTGTTTGTTATTATTTTTAGTTAAATGGTCCTGTGATTCAAGTGAGATTCAATCTATCCCCCCTCCCCTCCCCTCTTTGCCCTCCCTCAACGCATAGCGGAGCACCAGCTGCTGTTTTTCATAATCCTAGACCATCGCGCCAAAACGCACCATGTCTACGGGAAAACATAATTATATGTCGGTCACATGTGGACAGCCGATATTGTTATACGAATCACGTATGTTCTTTTGTATTTATGCCAACATAAAAATAACACTGTAACTTACAATAGATGTCCTCTATGGTTAGGAAATTGATGACATATAAAAATATTGTTCTATAACATTCTAGCGCGAATTCCATCCTTTTTTTTCATTACTGTTACTGCTTTAATACCAGCATTGTCTAGCTGCGTTTAAAATGATTAACACCGAAAAACGAAATTTGTCTTACCTTTTTATCGCTTTTCATTTTGATAAATGACTGATTCCAAATTTGGAATTCTCAGGAAACAAGTAAACTTGCAGAGCAAACAGCTTTCACGTCGTCAAGCCACGAGCGCTTGTATCCCAATATGCTTCCAACGATTTAGCGGCAACGGGGCATCGGCTGTAGGAATGATCCATTATTTTTCGGAAGGGGGGTTCTGCGTAACCTTGACTCGCGTGTAGGAAAATTTTAGACTTGTTATTGAGCCCCTCGTTAATTCAGTGCGTAATTCATTGGAGTTTTCTTTATTAACCCATATGACAATTTCACATCTGGTACTGGTGTTAGTTTTAATACAACGGTCAACTTCTTATAATTTTTTATTGTGTTTTTTTAAATAACGTGACTAGTAATTAATTCCAATAATATAGAAAATTGTAAACATAATTAATAAACTATTATATAAAACTAGAAAAACACACACACACACAAAGAATTGATTATATCAGTGTTGTTATTGGTCGGACAACATGGTATAACGAGGAAGTATATAGATTTGTTGTGACAACAGTGACCATTTGTAATGCAGACCACGAGACAAACAGGACAATCTGGGGCAGTAGTTGTTTTCAATAAATATGGCGTAGCATTCGAAATATAAAGCTGAGTGCCGGTTTTCGAGCCCTCCGAAACATTTTAGTCGCTCAAGGAGTCTTTGCGAAGAGTTTTCACTCGCCCGTTTTTAAACACTGTGTAATAAAGAAACATTTACACATGAATGTATTGTTTTAATATAGAGAGAGAAGTGGAAACAAAACCAACAAACCCCTACGTTCCATCGTCACCTCTTCCATCCCTTCTCTCTCTCCCTATCCATTAAGTCCCCCCTCTCCTCTCTTCTCTCACTTCCTCTGTCTCCCCCTCTCTCTCCCTATTCATTAAGTCCCTCTCTTCCTCTGTCTCCCTATTCATTAAGTCCCTCTCTTCTCTCCCTATTCATTAAGTCCCTCCCTTCACTCTCTCTCACTTCCTCTCCCTCTCCCTGTATCTCCCTCTCTCTCCATTAAGTCCCCCGCCCCCACTTCCTCTCTCCCCCCACTCTCTTCTCTTTCTCTCACTTGTCTCCCTCTGTCTCCCTATTCAATAAGCCCCTCCCTTCTCTCTCTCACCTCCCCTCTCTCTCACTTCCCGTCTCTCCCTCCCACTTCCCCCGTATCTTCCTCTCCCTCTCTTTCCATTAAGTCCCCCTCTCTCACTCCCCCCCCCCCCCCCCCCCCCCATCTCTCTTCTCTCCCATAGACAGTTGGTCATGTCCTCATGTCACATTGAATGAAACATAATGTTAAGTGAAACATGAAATAATTCTTTATGTAGCATTACTTTTCATAATGATATTTACATGATGGGACCCTTTCTCTGTCGATTTCATGTGAAATGAAAATCTGACCACTTACCATTCCAGCACAACAGGAGTTGACCGCCCGTCGCTTTTTTTAAAATATGAAGCTTAACTGTTATGCAGAGACGATGTACCGACACCCACATCAGGGTCCGGGGGGCATGTCTGGATGCATGTGCCCCCCCCCCCCCCCCCCGGCGTGGATCAGTAATAATACTTTCCGCGGATACCCGTTAATTATCTACATGATCAGATATAATGGTTGTTGGTGACTGAACACCTGCGTTTTGGGCCACACGGATGAAATTACTATCTATTAAGGTGAAACCCCATGTATGCTAAGTTGTGGTGAAGGGCATGTGAGGACATCTGTAACTTCACTAGCGGCGCCCGCAGCGGTTATATAATGTGCTACTTTGGAGACAGAGAGGGAAAGGAGAGAGTGAGAGTAGGGAAGGAGAAGAGAGGGAGGTGGGAAGCGGAGGGGAGAGGGAAGAAGCGAGGGGAAGGAGACGAGAGGGGGGAGGAGAAGAGAGAGAGAGAGAGGGGGGGGGGGGGGGGGGGGGGGAGAGGGGGGAGGAGACGGTGTGCGATATAACCGCTTAACCCCAAGCCAGTGGCTAGCTAATTTTTAAGTCGGGCTAAAGACTCTGAAATGAGTTTTGATGGTAATAAGTAACTGTTTAAGCGTTTAGCATGTTGCGATGAACTTGGGCTGCAACCATTTTTGAAGACATTACTCTGACTACGCTAGGCAATGCAGATTCACTTTCAGACTTTCAGATCAGTACTGTGATACTAATACCATCTTGCCACTGGATTCAAATATAATATCTGACTCATGTTTTGCAATTTGGGTTTACTTTATTAACTTTGCAGAATCAAATTTCTGGAAAATAAACTCGCATACTAAAGTGAAAGTTGAAACTGGCTAGTATAACTTTTAAGGCTAACCAGCCCACCTCGCCAGAAGAATGTTGAGACTATTTCACACGCTGGACAGAGAGGGCTGTGTTGTTGTTGTTATTGTAGTTACTTTTCCCCACGTCCTTATATATATAAATAAATACCCTGATATTTCAATAACTCTAAACTTTAAACAATTTGAGAGAAAATCACGACACAATGATACCTTGTCCTACTAAACTATATCTGACCTCCAGATTACCGGCATGTCTCTTTTTTATTTCGAACGAGACAGTCAGTTTATTGAAGGGTCGTATATCAGCACAGAAATAAAATACACACTGACTGGAAAGCTTAATAGTGACACTGGCCATGCTGGCATTGACTGCATGTAGAATTACATAAAACAGGACCAAATACACGGGCATTCTAAAGAATATATAAATGCACAATGCACGCAGAGAACAATTTATATATATCCATATCATACACAGACTGCATAGACCCATGGTATGATACTCACAAACCGCGAACACAGACTACGAACAACCAACATAGACCCAGAACACCGAACACGTGTCAGCGGCTGGTTTGAGCCGTGCAACCTCGACCGGCTTGAAACCAGCGGCGGCGTGTTTGTTCTGGTGGCGTTTTATGGTTTCTTTCATTGTTTGCCGATCCACCGTTTTATCAGAGACGTGGTGGGTTAGGTTCAGCCATATTCCAGCTATATCACTTCGGCTTGTAAATAATCACGTCTGGACCAGGCCATCCAGTGATTAAAGCACGAACAACGATCCACGTAATCGGGGTATGCTGACGTATGGATTTTACGCCACTTTTAGCAATATTCCAGCAATATCATGGCGGGCGACACCCAAAATGGGCTTCACACTTTGTACCAGTGTGTTGAATAGAGCCCAGGGTCTAGATTTTTGAAACGATCTTAGCTACGATTAATGTTAACAACTTACGTTCAAAGATAAGCAATCGTAACTCTGACAGAGAACTCATTTGTGTTAGAGATTTTAAAAAACGGGGTGTTTCCCAATGACGTCACGGGGATTTCCCAGCCGCTGAAAATTAACAACATGGAGAAGTGACACGGAATTCATGATCACATTGTCAGGTACCATTGTTTAACACGCAGCTATTTAAGTGAAATTCTGTACAATCCTACATAATTATGTCCTACATCTAGACGTTTTGTTCTTATGATAAAATATGCCATGACTACCAGAACACAAATAGCACTCGCATGCTATGCAAAGACATTTTTCAAATCCAATACATGTTATAATCAATAAGCGTAGTGTTACCACACTATAGCTATTAAAATTGAAATATTGTGCAAAAAGATTCTTCACTATTTTCCCTTCAAATGGTCCTCTCGCGAGCGCGCAGAACTTTATGTGGACATATTGCGTACAAAGTCAAGGACGAAAGTAAGGGACGTTATTCTAAATGAAAATGACTAGACCTTTGATTGAACAGCAGACATTCAGCATTTAAGATGCGTGTTCAAGTCTGATGTTACATGATGTATACTGGATCCATAATTCTTTTCAATATTTAAAAGCGACACTAATTTTCGTTCGCAAAGAGAGATAATTTTGGAATTGTCAAGGTATGTTGTCTCATGGAACTCGCCCCAAGTTAACGTGAACATACATATAATGTAGTCCTTTTCTATCCTTTTAAATTAAGTAGAGCTAATAAACTGATTTGTCTTATTTCATTTAAATCTGTCTGAGGAGCGAAATACATTCAAATGTGTCAAATCTATTCCAGAACGTAGTTCGATGATATTTGGCTTGTCTGACAGCATTACCTGTATTTGTCCGTTGACCCTATACTTTACAACGATTTTATTGTCTGAATGGTCTCAAATATCTATCTATATTTTTTAATATAAAATGGGTAGATGTACACTTAATTATCAAAAAGACCAAAATCAATAATTATTTTAACATCGGTTTATTGAATGCAAAATTCAAAGATTATTGTGTTGAAAATGTCTATTTTATATTGATCAGTAAACTTCATTCAATAAATGTTTTCTGCGAACATAATATTGGAAAGTGAATTTTGGACGATGTTCAAACTATTCTACTTTTTGACGACATTTTAAACCCGAATGGGAACCCTTTTTTTTCGATACGAAAATCTGTGCTTAACTTTTGTTGTCAAATTTTCAATAAATTGTTATATTTAATGGAATACATCTATATGCCGTTGATCACCTGTTTTTAAAGAATGCAATTGTTCAACAGACAGTCATTAATCACTTGTTATCAAATATTTGTCTCCAAATAGAATAGATAACCTAGGTATTGTATTTAAAATGAAACAAAATACAATTACTTTTGCTAGAAAAATGTTAAATATACCATACAAATATTTGATCACATATATTTCCTAGTTAAGTCAATAAAAACTTCACTGTATAGTTAAAATTCAATTGTTAAAACCGCTCCTCCCTCACGATTTTAGATGTAAAAACTGATGCGAAACCTTTATGGTTTTTTTTACATATGTAGATTGATGTAATTTTATAAATTGCGAAAATAAAGACTAAAGCATTGACATAAATGCGATCTAGAACATATAACAGGGGAACTGCGCTTTATGAAAACTGTAACATTGCGCAAAGTCTCGCCGGGCGAATACAAAGGGAAACCACTCTCAACTAGAGTATGAACTAAGATTAGCTGCCCCTGAGTTATCAATAAGGTCACAGTCATAAAAATAGCCTGCCGACACCTTCCATTTTTATCCTTCCCAAATTATCGAAAAGGTACGTTGTTTCACGCTTCTCCAGCATGGACTTGGATAGAAATATAGTTTAAGCTATCGACTCCATAGTTATGTGGATC